GGAGGTTAGACACACGCGGCTCAGCATCTGTGCCGGATCTCTTGGAGTCTCAGGGGGCATAGAGGAGCCTCTTCTGACAAGCAGATCGTACGTAGGATTTGTCGGTTCTGGGTAACAGACGGAGGCTGGAGGTTTGACGAAATCATCTCGTTGACGGTAGGGAGGAGGTACATCAGGGAGGTCCTCAACTAAGAGTTATGTGCATGCAGACCGTGGTCAGTGTTGGGATCGTGATCGGCGGTGGATATTCGCTGGGAGGAGGGAGGGGAATCCCATCATCATCGCCTTCTTCTACATGTCCTTCTCCATGTCGCCCTCGTGACCCTCATCACCATCCTCTTCACCGAACCCACCACCCTCCTCAACACCCCCCCCACCCTCCTCCTCCTCCTCCTACTCCTCCTACTCCTCCTCCTCCTCCTCCTGCTCGACCTCCTCCTCCTACTACTACTACTACTTCTCCTACTCCTCCTACTCCTCCTCCTCCTCTTTGTAGGTCATTCTCTCACCTTGTCTCCTTTCAGGTCTCGACGCAGAAGTTGCGTCCTCATCAGATTGCTGCGAGACAAGAGCTAGAGAGGAGGAGGCAAGCGAAGGTAGCGCATGAGGGACAGTGAGGAAGGGAAGGAAGAGAGAGAAGGGAAGGGGGAGGTAGAGGAAGGGTGAATGGCAGGGAATGAGGCAGCAAGCGAGAGAGCGAATGAGCGAGGCAGGGGGGAGGATGAATTGAGAGATGAGGAGGGGACGAGAGTGAATTTCGGCTCAGGTGCAGGCGTCGCGGGAGGAGAGGAAACTGTTGGACGCCAGGTGAGAGGAAGTTTGGCATGGAAGTGCGACTGACGCTGTTGACAGAGATGACAAGGCGACAAACATGGTGAGAGACGAGGAGGGCCGGGAAGGAGGAGGGGGAGGAGGGGGAGGGGATAGGGAACACGAGGAAGGGAGGAATGATAAGGAGGAAACAAAACAGAGGACGAAAGGAGGGAGAGGGGAGGGAAGATGGGGAAGGAGGTAGGGAAGAGGAGGGAGGAGGAAACAGTAGATGAAGGAGGCAAGGAGCGCGTCTGACCTTACAAGTTCAGACCCAGGAAAGCGAAGTAGCTGGAGCAGATAAGATGCCGGAGCTTCGGATCGCTGAAGATATCCCACCGGTGAACCCGGCCGAAAGGCAGGAGGCGAAAAGAGAGGGGAAGCTCCCCGGGAGGAGAGGAGGAGGGGAGAGGAGGACGGAGGGAGGAAGGAAGAGAACTGCGCTTTGCATCAGCGGATTATTTTATATCAGTATGATAATGGAGAGATCGTCGTTCCCCGAGGACTCCTAGATGATCCTAACGATGAAGAGCTCTTCCATTCCTTATGAACCATACGAGACTCCCGGAAAATGGTATTCCTCTCATCATCCTCCTCCTCCTCCTCCTCTAGTCCTCATCGTCGACCTCCTCCTCCTCCTCCTCCTCCTCCTCCTCCTCCTCCTCCTCCTCCTCCTCCTCCTCCTCCTCCTCCTCCTCCTCCTCCTCCTCCTCCTCCTCCTCCTACTCCTCCTACTCCTCCTCCTCCTCCTCCTGCTCGACCTCCTCCTCCTACTACTACTACTACTTCTCCTACTCCTCCTACTCCTCCTCCTCCTCTTTGTAGGTCATTCTCTCACCTTGTCTCCTTTCAGGTCTCGACGCAGAAGTTGCGTCCTCATCAGATTGCTGCGAGACAAGAGCTAGAGAGGAGGAGGCAAGCGAAGGTAGCGCATGAGGGACAGTGAGGAAGGGAAGGAAGAGAGAGAAGGGAAGGGGGAGGTAGAGGAAGGGTGAATGGCAGGGAATGAGGCAGCAAGCGAGAGAGCGAATGAGCGAGGCAGGGGGGAGGATGAATTGAGAGATGAGGAGGGGACGAG